TTTAAATATATTTAATACTTCTTAGATTATTTAAATACATCTAAAAGGATATTAACAACCATTCTGCAAAATTATGATAAAAAAATATTTATTTACAGTTTCTTCAAAAAATTTTTCAATCTTATAATATAATAAACATATCGTTTAAATTTTTTTTCAAACCACTCAATGTTGTAAAATATCTCTGATAAAACTTTTTGAACATTTAAATCAGAAAACTCGGCATTGTCATTTTTTTGTATAACTTGATTCAAAAAAATTTTAATCTCTTTAGAGTCAAATTTTAAAATTATTTCATTCATTATAGTTTCAATTAATGTTAAATTACTAATTACATTACACTTATTGTATTTTCGTAGATTAAAATGGCTTTTAAAGCTAACAATAAACTGTGCAACTTCTCTAAGAAATTCAACCAATTCAAATAAAAACTTTTTAGTATTTTCTGACAGGTAAAGAGTTTCAATGTCATTCATAAGAAGTTCAAAAGTTTCATTTGTAAAATTTCTAAACCATCTAGAATGTAATATAATGCGACCGCGAATGTTACGATATTTAGAATTTTTGTCTAAGTTAAAATGGATAAGGTCTGTAAATGATTGTTTTCTTACATTTACAAAAAACTTATCTTTAAGTGCTTGTAACACTTTTTTATTTTCAATTAAAATATTATTAAACTCAATATTTGAATCAACAGATGAAAAGCTTTTAGAGGAACTAAAATCTACAAAAAAATCTGCACCTCTTTTTTCTTGCTCTTTTGTATCATTTTCAATCAAATCGTCATTATTTGAAGATTTTTTATTATTAATATGACTATATTCGCCAACTTCTTTATTGTAAATACCAGCATTATATTATATCCCAATTTTTAAAACCAAATCTATTAAATTAACAGTTTCGTTTTTAAAATTAATCTCTAGAAAAGATTTTTTTTATCATCATATTCACTAGGCTCCCAATTAATATATCGACCAAACTCCTCATACCTGTTATTATTATATTTGTTTTTAGAAAATAATTTCTCCTTATTTTTGCAGATGGGCAAAGAAGGAAAAGAACAGCCCTTTAAAATAAAAATCGTTTTCAATTACCAGATTGTCAATACTTTGATTACTAAATTCTGCGTAATTATCAGTACAACCAGAATTTGGTTGTTCAATTAAAGATTCATTTTCTTGAACAAATAATATACTTTCCATTTATATAAGCAAACTTGAATTAGAATGCATGTTAGTTTGTGCAAAAAGTTGTTTTTTATTTGTCAGAGACAAACTCTTTTTAATTATGTTGTTATGAGAAGCATCTGTAGCACAAAAAACATCATTTCAGTACTGAGGAGTATTTGGACTTATGTCTAATATTGTATAATTCTGATCAAAAAAATTTGTGCTTTTCGTATGTTGAGATAGATTGTCACTATCTTTGCTTGGCGTTAAAGCTAGATTTTTTGTTTCACAAGTCTGTTGCTCATATATAAAATCAGCATCTAAATTATATTTATTAGTACTTTGACCACGTCCAGAATCTGCCCGATCTTCTGTTTGCATTTTGTCATTGCATAGTAAGTTTCTAAATATTGTATTTTGTTGTGTATTCTCTGCTGTGCTAATAAGTTTTATGAGTTACTATAACATAGCTTATTTATGTAATTTATATTAGAATTGGAAATATTGGTTGTACTAATCAATAAAAGAGAAAAACATTTTTTGGTTTAGTTTTTTTTACTTTTTGGATAATAGTGATAATTATTTTTTATGTCACAAAACAGACAAAAACAGTCTTCATTTTTTTATATACCAATTTCGTTATATTATTACAAGTGTAGTAGTTAAATCATCAAATTTTGATTATATATATTAAATTAAAAAAGACCTACATTTCTCCAATAAGCTTCGCTATAGTACTTAATGCTTATCAAAAAAAGGTTTGTGCTTGCGTCATCAAATTTTACAACCGCCTTATAAAAATGATTACCCATAATGATATGTTATAATTAATTTAATCTGTCGTGTTTTGCAAATAAAGAATAACGCGATGTAGATTTATTAAACTGTTTATTAGTTTTCATTTTCATTCCCCTCAAAGCAGCAATTCTTTTATATAGTTTTTAACATTTAATAAATAAACAAGTGAGTAAAATAAAAAAAGACAAATGTTACTAGAACGTGTCCACAAAGGAAAGTAAAATAAAATCGTCTTAATGGTCTGTGAGGACAAAAACGTTGTAATGATTATCAAACAGTCTACATGATAAAGTTGGCTCATTACAATTATAAATTGTACAATTAACTTATACGAAAAGTTTTATAAGTATTTAATTTTTTAGACCCTTTAAAATTTAACTAACAACTATTTACTAAATAGTAAGAGTAAGATGTTCCATAGATTGCAGCAATTAACCAATTCAATGCAATATAATGATTAATTTAATATCGCTAAGTATAATTTGTCTCTCTATTAACTAATAGATTACCTTTTATCATTTAAAAATATCAAAGAAATTTAAAAAAAATTCTCTGTAAAATTTTTAACTGCAACAAGTCAATCTACGTTTATTTCTTAAACAACCACACCATACCGCCGATTTAAGACAATTTTTGCTAAAACATTTTAGTTAACCTGCTTAATGATATTAAACTTCAGATTAATAATAAATTAAAAATTCTGATAATTCATTTTTTCTCTTTAAAGCAATTCAAATAAAGTTTGAATTTTATTATTAGAACAGAGTAATAGTGACTTAAAGGTAAAGCCAAATTTTTTTCTTGTAAAAAACTTATACAGAATCTGGTTTTAATTAAAAAGTATTTATGTCATAGGTACACAACGAAAGTAAAAAATATATGTAAAAGTTTTACCTTTAATTCTACTATTAGTGCTTCTTTGTAATTAAAATTTAAAGCTAATCATTTACTAGTTGTTAAACGGCTGTTTCAGTACATGTAATAAAAGCTTTATTATTATAAAAAAATGAACTTAAACTTAACCATTTTGAGACGATTATCAAATCCTTCAAATTATATTTTATTAAAGCTATCTAAATTATTTTTAACAAATTTACTAAATTAACATATTTTTTAAATCTAATAAATATTTATTTATATATTTAATTATCATAAAATTTACTTTTTATTAAATAAAACTTTTTATCCTTCGCATTATCAAGAATTTTTGCGTATTTGTATATTCACGCGACCAATAGCTCTTTTTAAATTAACAAGTATCTTTTAAAGAATGAGAGTCTACATATTAAGACTTTTAAATAAAATTTAAGAATACTTTGTTGTATTTTTAATAAATAATTTTTTTTATTTTTTATATAAAAGCTTTGTGTGTTTAAGTTAAACTATATCTTTAGATGTTACAACTTTATATAAAAAGTAATAAATTTAATATTAAAAGTGTTGTAAGTAAGTTTTTTTTTAATCTTATCACAAAATAATTATTACATATCTTACGACGGCATTTTTGTGAACTATACAATTAAAAAAAAGTAATAGCAAAAACAAGTTTGAAATTTTTCACGAAAAATAAAAAAACTTAATATATCAATCATTTTTATTACTCGTTTCAATGTGTGTAAATCAAACATAATAGTTACTATAATACAAAAATATACTGGTTTTTAATTAAAATTTATTTACTTAAACTAAAAAAATGTTTTCCAAAAAATTTAATTGTACATATTTCCTTTTTAAAAGAATCTCTCAATTTTATAAGTTTCCGTTGAAAAGAATTAAATTCCTTATTATATTAATTAGTAAACATTTAATTTCATAAATATCAAAATAATCCTGACAGACTAAATTATTGCCAACCGCAAGTAAATCTTTAAAGCTTGATTTTAGAATTGAAAGTTTTGTGGAAATTTCGGCATACCTGCTATTTTTTTCATATGCTTTATCCAAAGATAATTGAAAATTCTGTGCTGGTTTTTGCTCTATCTTTATATAAATTGCATTTATAGTATTTAAAAAATTTGAAAGACTAATTAAAGTAAGAATTGTTTTAAGCTTTAAGTTGGTGAGTAAATTGGATATTTTAAGTCTTTTTATAAATTTTGGTATTCAATTTTTAATGGCATATTTACCAAACCTTCTAAACTCCCTTTCGGATTGCTTGTATTTTTCATAAAGTTGGCGCTCGTTAGCTGTAAAATGATTAGAAGGAAATGAAACTCTGATTTTTGCGCGTTCGGATTTTAAAACATTTTCAATGTTATCTATTTGAACAATAGATGATGTAATTTTAAATTAAATTTTTTCTCTTGATCTTTTAGGTTTTTTTCTTTTTTGTAAACATTAATGGAATATTTACAATTTTCTTTTTTTTTAATTGATAAATCAGTAACATTAGATAGTCTGTCAATTTGACCATAATTTAGTTTATTATTACAATTAGTCTTTTTTTGGTGAGGCTGATGGCCTGATAGAGCAGTAATATTATCAATTTTCTGGAAAAAGGTAATGTTTTCTGGGTTATTATTTGTTCTTGTAGTAAATCATTTTGAGTTCTTTGTACTAATAAATTATTGTTATTTTTGCAAAATGCATTTCTATGAGATTGTTCCAACGTATCATTTCTTGCTTGTTTAATTGTACAAAATTGTTTACCACATTTATTAATATTATATTGATTACACATGATACTTTGTGACATATAATTGTTCTCTAAGCTCGTTACCAACATTTCATCACTTAAATTATATCTAAATAATCATATCCGTTATTAAAACTTTCATCTATGAAATCTGTCAAATCATCTAATATATTAGAGTTAGATCGATTTTCATAAAATTTTTTATCTTCTGTTGTAGTCAGTTCTGTATTCTTTTGTTGTAGACCTTCATTTTCGCATAATCCTATATTCTCAAGTGTTTTTAAAAAGCCTGAAGTATTATTTAGGTCTAATAGTAGATTACGATCTAATATTTGTATTGAACAAAAAATTGTCTGCAACCAAAATAACATTAAGGGTTTAAAATTTTGTACAATTTACTATTTTAACAATTGTGCAATATCAAAAGTATTTTCTGTTACTTATATAGCACATTATTTTTATTTTGATATGGTCAACTATGACAAGTTCGTGTATTTTTTCAATAAATATAAATTATATTTTAATTAAAAATTCTACCTTGATAAATAGAAAAATTCTGCAATAAAAAAATTTTAGTGATGAAACCTAGGTCGGAAATGGTGCTTATTCTGGACAAAAACATTGTACAAATTGAGCTGTGAGAAAAAACGCTTTTAGTAAAGCAATATTATTGATGTTATCTTTCTTAAATAGTTTTAACTTTTTATTTTACACCAATGAAAAATAAGTAGCTTTAATGTATCATTCTAAAACCTAAAGTGTTACAGTCAAGAGACTCTTTGGAATAAAAAGATTTATTGGAATTCTTTTTTGGCATTCTTGTCGGACTTTTACTCTATTTATATTTATTTCTGAAACATGTTTCAGATTTTCAAACATTATCATGTTTTAGCATTAAAGCCTTGATTCGTTTCACATCGACTTCAACACTTATACACCACAGCATTAATATTTCTTTTTAAATTCTCAGCTTAATCTTTCCTATGCTTTTTTAAATTTTTTTTGTCTAGTTCATGTTATATTATCTTTCTTTTAAAAAACTCCCCTTTCCTCAATCTCAATATCTGCGCACTACCGGGCGCTAGCATACCACAAAGCCCTTTGCTCGTAGGAAGATTTGATTTACCCCTCAAGTAGATACTTACTTGGTCTACAACTGATAGGGATAGAGTATTGCTCTTACCAGACCAGGGGTTCGTCAGACTTGTGATCGGACAGTGCGATGTGGGTCTAATGACGTTGTGGATTCACATCATCCCATGCAAAATATGCTAGAGCTCACTAGCTTGCTGTGTTCTTTTTCTGGTGGGTCTTTAGATGTAATTTCATACTATAGGTTCTTGAAATAACCTACAGATGCTTTCCCCACAGCTATGGCAATTGTGTATTAATTTAATTATTTAATGCCCCTTGCAGATATTAAAACTTTTACAATCCTAGTAGAGGCTCAAAGAGAAGCTTACGATATAACTATACCGGCATAGCTTTATATAATTTTACTGTACCAACGTCATGTACTTATTTAACCATTCACATTGCTTTAATTTAAATCCATACCATTTGAGCATCAGGAAAATATTACTACCACTGCACTAACAATGCTTATAGCTTTTTGTTGAACAAATTTATCTTATTTATATTTTTTATGATTTTGAAAAAGTTAACTTTATAAATTTAAACATTTAAAAATTATTTGTACAATGATCTTGTGTGTTAAAAAACAAACAAAAATTAAACACCAGCAAAAAAGTTATAAACCATTTTATTTTACTAGATTTTTTCTTTGTTTGAGTTAAATCTTTATTCAAATTAAAATATTTTATAAAAATTTTAAATTTTATATAGGACTTACAACTTCCATTTTAAGCATTCGGAAAAATTAATTTATTTAATAATCATCCAAAGATTTAAAAAATTTTGTTGAATTTCTAAATCATTAATAAAGAAATATAAAACATCAATTAGCTAAATTTAGTTTATGTTTAATTATTTTTTATGTAATATAGAGAATCAAAGTATTATAAAACGACATCTGTCAAAAAGAAAATACTTAATTTAAAAATTATAAGTTTTATTAATGTAATAAAAAAGTTTTTATTGTTTTATTAAAAGCATAAAAATTTCCCATATAATATAATAAAAACCTAAAAAGTAAAAAATAATAATGATTTTTATTAAAGTCATGAGGATGGGCAAAACTAACAAGAAATAAAAAAAATTTATTAGTAGTATATTTAAATTTTTGTTTAAAACAAATACGTGCATATGACACAGCACATTTTATATTAAAAAAATATATTTTTTATAAATATAAAAAAATAAACATGCCCATGCACAAATTTAGCATATTATTTTGGATATTTTTTATTTATTCATTAAAAATAATTTCAGTAGTTCCACAAAAATATAAAATGTATGAAATTGATTTGCGAAGTAGTTCTCCGGTA